TTTGTGGCCTCAATATAGTGATTTGTGGTGTCAATATATTAACTTGTTGCCTTAATCTAGTAATTTGTGCCCTCAATATATTAATTTGTGGCCTCAATGTATAATTTTTGGCCTCAATATATTGATTTTTGGCCCCAGTATAGTAATTTGTGGCCACAATATATTCATTTGTGGCCTCAATATTGTAATTTTGTAGCCTCAATATAGTAATTTGTGGCCCCAATATATTACCTTGTGGCCCCATCATATTAATTCATGGCTTCAATTTAGTAACTTGTGACCTCAATTTAGTAATTTTTGTCCTTAATGTATTAATTTGTTGTCTCAGTATAGTAATTTGTGGCCTCAATATATTAACTTGTTGCCTCAATCTAGTAATCTGTGGCCTCAATACATTAATTTATGGCCTCAATATTTTAATTTGTGGCCCCATTATATTAATTCATGGCCTCAATTTAGTAATTTGTAGCCTCTATATATATTAATCTGTGGCCTCAATAGTAATTAGTTGCCTCAATATAGTAATTTGTTGCCTTAATATAATAATTTGTGACATCGTTCTATTCATTTGTGGCCTCAATATATTAATTTGTGGCCTCAATATAGTAATTTGTGACCTCAATATGGTAATTTGTTGCCTCAATATAGTAATCTATGGCCTCGATAGGCAAACCAGCCCCTTCCCTGTAGTATGGCACATGGATTTTGTGGTATGATGGATACTGTACTGTATACTGCTATGTAGAGTAGTGTGGAGTATACAGTACATACTAGTGCAGTATGCAGTATGTAGTACAGTAGTATGCTGTTTCAATTGAATCCATTGTTTTCTGATAGTTTTGAGTATGTTTTCAATGGAAGTGATCTTTTTTAAATCTATTCATGGTGGAGAAGAACACTCAGAACACTATTTTTTAAATTTAACTCAGAAGACTCGTGTAGGTTCACTGGTGGTTTTGGATAGTAAGTAAAATGGCTATATTTGTGTTGTATACATTTTGTGACCCCTGGTTCCTATCACTACCTCTGTAAAGAAATCTGAGTCTGTATGTTTCTTTAGAATGGAACCACTTCACATCAGACTACTCTTGCATGCCGGTTTAAATCACTACCACTGAATTATGTATAAATTTTGAAAAATGGGTGGAATTCCCCTTTAACTATTGCAAGTCCCATAATTATGAAAGCAGGGAAAAGATGACTGCAGCACCGTTTTATCAGTTAAAGAGCTTCCTGCTGCTGTGGGCATGTGAGAGAGAGGCACGAGGACGAGGCAGGGAGACACGTTTCCCCTCGATGGTCGATCAATAGTGACCCAGACTCAAGGCCACATCAGAGTGGACCAAGCACATTCAGCCAAACTAGGTTCTATTAGATGATCTCCCAGAGCAAACCTGCTGATCTATGACCAAATTCTTGTGAATAGTGCCTGAGATGTAACTGATCTTTCATATCCTGAGATGATCAATAACTAATAAACAGCAAACCAAATAGATAAATATTCATCACTCAGAGCTTTTGATGAACCACCTTCATAGAGGTGCTAGATACCAGCGGACCAGACACAGCAGTGCTGCTGGAGTTTTTAAACACTGTCCACTCTATTAGACACTCCTATCTTGTCAGTCCACCTTGTAGATGTAAAGTCAGAGACGGTAGCTCATCTGCTGCTGCACAGTTTGTGTTGGTCATCCTCTAGACCTTCATCAGTGGTCACAGGACGCTGTTTGCTGGATATTTTTGGTTCTCAGTCCAGCAGCGACACTGAGGTGTTTAAAAACTATGAATGAGCAGTTGCGCTAATGTGCTAATTTGCTCTTACTGTCTTGCTGCATTTTATGAGCCTGGCTCTATTTCTACCTGGTGCACTCCTGACTATTCTAAAGCAACAAATTAACATGAACCACAAATGCCAAGTGTTTATATGCTCTTAACGTCACAATCCCCCTCGGACAAAAGAGACACGGGAGTTCGACGCTCGTTCCGGCCATGAAAACCAATGCATTCACAGATATCAAATTATTCAGCCTATTGCAGTTTAGCCCCATTCACTCAAGCTGAAGTTGTATGGAGTGTTTCATCTTAGATTGCTTTTTAAATGAGGCACAGCCAGTCAGAACAGAGCTCATTCACATATAGCTTAAAGGTACAGTAACATAACCCATCTGTATGAGATAAAGAGAAGTTGGGAAATGGTCATGGTAGAAATTAATTATGACTTTTTTCGGCCTTTTAAACATATCTTTGCTATTCCTTTGAAGAGTCAGAATTAAATAAACTGTTTACACCTGGTCACTTTATGCCTCTTCAGTATCAGGATTATATCTGCATAAGGCCAAGCCACATAAAAACCGCTTCAGAACATGGTCTGAGATCATCTGAGAGCATTTGAGCCACATTATATTAGTGTAAACGCATCCGTCTCTCCAAGACACATTTAACAACCAAAACCACCCCCAGTGCAACCGAAACTGGGCATGTGATTCGTCTCTGCGAGGAAGATAATCATGGAGGACACGCATGGTTGGGGACCGGATGAAACAAAATGCTTAACAGCAACGTGGACAGAAAATACTGTGCCAAACAAACTGCAGACGACTTAATAAACTGGTAAATGGTTGCGGATTTGCATATTTTCTCCCACACAGCAATCGGATTTTAGTCCGACTAAGGCTATGTTCACATTACAAGCCTCATTGCGCAAATCCAATCTTTCTGACACAATGGTTCACACTCGTTTAGGTAAGTGATTCAAATCTGTCATTAATGTGAACGAACCGGCGTCCTGAAATGACCCTCATGCATACATCCTACTCAGTAACGTCACGTGAATGAATTGCGTGCATCATCAGCAACAAACTAACGAGCAGAACGAGCTTCGCTGTGAAGATAATTAACTCTGATCAGATCTCAGCTTCGTTATTAGAGTGAGACGAAGGTGAAAAAGGTGAGATGAGCTGCTTTTCCACCATTTACAGACTTTAATTTCTGTTTGGCGCTGCTGCCATGGTAACGCTGAATGATGGCGCACACGCAGGAAAAAAAAAGCACATGAATTCCGATCTGAGCATTCACATTAAGGTCACATGGCCACGAATCAGTTACGTATCTGATCTAGGACCACATATGAAAGTGGCTCAGGTTGGATTTGAAAAGATCGGATTTGTGTCCACACAGCCCTGAAAACATGAGATCTGAGTCACGTAAGAGCAAAAAATCTGATTTGTGCCACTTCAACCTGGTAATGTGAACGCAGCCTAACTGGAGATGTATTTTGACTACCAAATGTTTTGTGCATGTGGCTAAAATCTCATCAGGATACAATCCAGATACTAGTCACATGAAGTCACCAAGTGTAAACAGTGTCTTTTTTTCCTCTTTTTTTGAAACAGAACAGTTTAATGTAGTATAGAAACATTGCTTATATTTCAAAACACATCCATATATGGAACATAAGGCTGCGTTCACATTACCAGGTTGAAGTGGCACAAATACCATTTTTTGCCCTAATGTGACTCAGATCTGATGTTTTCAGGGCTGTGTGGACACACAAATCTGATCTTTTCAAATCCGACCTGAGCCACTTTCATAGGTGGTCCTAGATCGGATACGTATCCAATTCGTGGCCATGCGACCTTAATGTGATGCTTGGATTGAGAACTTGTGCTTTTTTTCCACTGCGTGTGCATCATCATTCAGTATTACTCTGGCAGCAGCGCCGAACAGAAGTTCAAGCCTGTAAACAGTGGAAAAGCAGCATCTCACCTTTTTCACCTTCATCTTGCTCTAATAATGAAGCTGAGAGCTGATCAGAGTTAATTATCTTCACAGCGAAGCTCGTTCTGACCGTTAGTTTGTTTGCTGATGATGCACATGACGCACGTGACAGTAGGATGTGCACATTTGGGTCATTTCAGGACGCCAGTTCGTTCACATTAATGACAGATTTGAATCACTTACCTAAACGAGTGTGAACCATCATGTCAGAGAGATCGGATTTGAGCAAAAAAATCGGATTTGAGCAATGAGGCTTGTAATGTGAAAGTAGCCTAAGCTGCAAAACAGCCTGTTTTGAATTCACTGTTTTTGTGATGCCTACTCAGCCCACAGCAGTTTACCCCACCCATTCATGCCGAAGTTATAAGGAGTGTTTTAACCCAGACTGCTTTTTTGAATGAGGTGAAATGCAGGCCAGCCAATCAGAATAGAGCTCATTTACATGTATCAGTCTTAAAGGCACAGTAACACAAACAGCCTGTGTAATTCTATGGAATAGAGAGGTTGGTCATGGAGAATTGAATTTTGACTGTTTTGGTACAATAAAACCCTAACATCATAAGTGGACCTCAGGAAAAAGACTAAAATACACCTGGCAAAGCTAGGAAAGAACTAGCACCCAAATCAATAGGCCTAAATAATATATTGTAATATTAACTGCATGCACAGCCACTTCTTTCTCACCTCACTGCTTTAACTGCCACTTTCAATATTTCAGTACTTCAGTAGTGGCAAAGTTCTATTAGATTTTCTTTCAAGACAGTTTTGTTTTTCTTCTTTAAGAACAAAGCCAGCATAAAATCTGATGGGACAGCCAGAGAACTGTGCAAGTAAAAGGTTTGTCTAACAAAAGACTTGTACAGGGCTTTTAGAGTAGGCAGTGTGGAGTAACACTTATCAGAAGCAATCATTAAGTGAATTAGAAAAGAGATTGAGGGCTTTAATAAAAATACCCCTTAACTCTAACTCACAGCAGGAAGACGTTTCATAACTTGCTTGTTCTGGACAGGGAAGTGCATTAGTGTGACAAAAGGGCCAGGTTGCCATGACAACCGTAAAGTAACTCTGGTGTCAATGTCCAAACAAAGTACGTGTAAATGTCAATTCGGTGGTCAGTGCTGGACTCGACCATGAAACTCCGCAGGGATGTCCTCTCACTCGTATGCAAAACTTGGCGTATCTACAGATACATACGTGGACATCAGTCACAACAACCAGCTTACCTGATCTGTGCTCGGTGTGTCTGCAATGTCATTCATACTTCTGCTTTGTGCGTGACCTGCAACACAATAAAAACACAATAAAAACACAAAAGAAAACTGGCCACTTTATTAGAAACACCCACCTTGTGCTTCCACTAACTGGCCAGTTTATTACAAACACCCACCTTGTACTTCCTCTTACTGACCACTATATTAGAAACACCCACCTTGTGCTTCCTCTTACTGGCCACTTTATTAGAAACACCCACCTTGTGCTTCCACTTACTGGCCACTTTATTAGAAACACCCACCTTGTGCTTCCACTAACTGGCCACTTTATTAGAAACACCCACCTGTATTTTCAACTAACTGGCTACTATATTAGAAACACCCACCCTGTATTTTCAATAACGGGCCACTTTATTAGAAACACCCACCTTGTACTTCCTCTTACTGGCCACTATATTAGAAACACCCACCTTGTACTTCCTCTTACTGGCCACTATATTAGAAACACCCACCTTGTGCTTCCACTAACTGGCCAGTTTATTACAAACACCCACCTTCCTTTTCAACTAATTGGCCACTTTATTAGAAACACCCACCTTGTACTTCCTCTTACTGGCCACTATATTAGAAACACCCACCTTGTACTTCCTCTTACTGGCCACTATATTAGAAACACCCACCTGTATTTTCACTAACTGGCCACTTTATAAGAAACACCCACCTTGTACTTCCTCTTACTGGCCACTTTATTAGAAACACCCACCTTGTGCTTCCACTAACTGGCCACTTTATTATAAACACCCACCTTGTGCTTCCACTAACTGGCCACTTTATTATAAACACCCACCTTGTACTTCCACTAACTGGCCACTTTATTATAAACACCCACCTTGTGCTTCCTCTTACTGGCCACTTTATTAGAAACACCCACCTTGTGCTTCCACTAACTGGCCACTATATTAGAAACACCCACCTTGTGCTTCCTCTTACTGGCCACTTTATTAGAAACACCCACCTTGTGCTTCCACTTACTGGCCACTTTATTAGAAACACCCACCTTGTGCTTCCACTAACTGGCCACTTTATTAGAAACACCCACCTTGTACTTCCTCTTACTGACCACTTTATTAGAAACACCCACCTTGTGCTTCCACTAACTGGCCAGTTTATTACAAACACCCACCTTCCTTTTCAACTAATTGGCCACTTTATTAGAAACACCCACCTTGTGCTTCCTCTTACTGGCCACTTTATTAGAAACACCCACCTTGTGCTTCCTCTTACTGGCCACTTTATTAGAAACACCCACCTTGTGCTTCCTCTTACTGGCCACTTTATTAGAAACACCCACCTTGTGCTTCCTCTTACTGGCCACTATATTAGAAACACCCACCTTGTGCTTCCTCTTACTGGCCACTATATTAGAAACACCCACCTTGTGCTTCCACTAACTGGAAAGTTTATTACAAACACCCACCTTCCTTTTCAACTAACTGGCCACTATATTAGAAACACCCACCCTATATTTTCACTAACTGGCCACTTCATTAGAAACACCCACCTTGTGCTTCCACTAACTGGCCACTTTATTAGAAACACCCACCTTGTACTTCCACTTACTGGCCACTTTATTATTCTACTTCTTTCATTGTAACACCTTGATTTTAAGTTTGTTACTATTAAGCTGTTAATCTTAAATGTTGTGGTAATTAGAGTGGGGAATTGAGGTGTTTTAAGGTTTAACAGTGGAGCAGTACAGTCAGATTCAGGCACACACTCACGCAGTCGTCCGTAGCTGCCCGCCTGTTTACTGCGCAGGTCCTCTGTGGAGCGGTTGAAGGTGGAGGCGGCCGCAGGGCTGCGAGCCGGACTCCGGGCTGCAAAACAGAGAGAGACATTACCCTTAACTAAGGGGCTTCTGCATATCTTTAAATATGTTTTTTTGCTTGTTTTCATAACACTGAATAATGAATAACTTGCACTTAATGGCTGTTTTTGAACCTTTAATAGAAAACATCATGGCCACTTTGTGCTTCCCTTTGTGCACCCCCCTTGTGCTTCCACATCTGCCATGACAGTTAACGCTAATGATAACATGACACTGGAATATTATTGAACTATATCTGTCATAACTACTCATGACTACATATGACATCTGCCATTATATGTTTATAGCATGGCTATGTCAACATCATCCAAGTCAAATAAAGTGTTAATAAAGACATAATCAGTGTTCGATAAAGCCAGAGGTCACTTACGGGCGCCAGAGCTGCCTTTGCCCATGTCGGCCAGCGAGCGGTGGATGGGTTTCTTGGTTTGGTGCCGATGTTTCCTCAGCAACACGAAGCTGATCTTATCCCTCAGCTCTGGACCAATCATCCCCTCCTCAATCTGACGCTCAATGATGTCATCTGTGTGAAACAGAAACAGGAAACTGAATTATTGGAAAGTAGAGTAGTGTAGACTGATGGTGCCAAGGGGGCGCTAGAGCGTGCTCGTAGCTACTCCTGGAAAATGCTTAGCGCATACGTAGCATCTCCAGAAGCTTAGGTAACACAAGCTCATCTGAAGTACTGAGTGATTGCTAAGTCCAAATTTAAACATTATCCCTAGAAGACCTACTTCTGAATGGCCACAGCACTGGTCAGGACGTTACCCTTGCTTTAACACAACTCGTCTTCCTGCTATCACACAATGTAGTCAGCTGACCAAGCTGTTGCTGAATTGAACTAACTGTGTGCAGTGGCCTTCTAGCCTGGAGCTGGACTTTGTCCATGTAGAACAACCGTAATCTTAGCTAGACTTGGCATCGATCCGATACTGGGTATTGCTACTGGGAAGATATCAGCAAAAAATGGTGAATCACACATTGGAAGAGAAAAAAAGAATGAATCTGATCCGATTCTGTCACAAATTTAGCCTAAAATCAGCACAGAACTTCTTGTAGTGCCACAAAATTTAAAGCAAAGTAAAGTAGGGCAAATTATAACATTGGTAACCACATAATAACACAGCGTGAAACTAGCTAACGTAGCATCTGTTAGCTGACAGAATTCATAATTAACATTCTCCTCCAAGTGTGTTGAGCTGTCCAACAACTTTTGGTTACCGTCAGTCAGAGAGGATGTTTTGGATGTTGGTATGCTGGTCAACCAGCATGACCATTCAGCTGAAGTAGCATTAGACCAGCACAAACCAGCTTAAACCAGCTTAGACCAACCTGGAATGCTGTTTAAGGGCATGTTAGCCTTCAATGTGCTAGTAATGTGTGATGGAGGAAACCTAGAATTAGCATTGATTAGCATCAGTTGATACTCAAGGTTTTAGTGTTGGAATCAGAAACAAAAAAGTGGTATTTTTAAATGCTAAAGTCTTTAAATTAAACACCTAAGAAAAAGCATACTTTTGAAGTGTTTTGAGGCCTAACATGACCTCTATTCACAGAAAGTGCCAACTTCTGACACCAAGTACATCTTGCCTGCGGAAAGGAAAACAATTTCTTAAAGTGGTGAGGTGGAAGAGCTCTTATTGTATGACATTTGGTACAACTGTCTTCCAAATTGCCAATTTTTAGACAGCTCTGCACTTTCTCCAGCAAAAAACAGCCCAACCCAACTGGTGAATCCACTCATCCCCCTCCTCACCTACTATCTGTGGCAGTGAGTATCCATCCAGGTCCAGCAGCACCACGCCAGTCTGCAGGCAGGTGCGCAGCTCGAACAGGCTGTGCAGGGACAGGGTGGACACGTGCGGTTTGCTCCAGCGCTCGCCGCCCTCCTCCACCTTCTCCTCAAACTTCACCCACCTGAGGAACACAGAGAGCTGAATGAGAGCGCAGTGACAGGAGAGGAGGAGGAGGAACTCTTCTTCACCTACTGTAATTACTAGTGGGAAGATGGTGTTATTAACCGGAATGGCAGTCTATTCATAGCGCTGTCCAACGGCAGTCTGAATTATGGTCTGAGTCTGAAACTGCTTCACATAAAAGGGTATTGAATCTGATTAAAACTGAAAGAGACAAAACTGTTGCTTTTGCTTTTTTAGGGATCTACAAGGCTTAGGTTTGGGATTAGGCCTTAACATTATTATATATAGATCCTTATATATCGCTGCTGTCGGAAGAAAACCTGTATTTCCAAAATGGTAACTTTACAGGAGAAGGAAAAAACATACTGTACTTTTAATGGAACCAGAGTTTTTGTCCAAGTAATTTTGGGTTCTTTTGGTCCATTCATTATGAAATTTACACACAATATGATGGACAACAGGCATTTTCAAATTATGTCAAAAACTGAAAAACGACAAAAATGGAGATACAAGCTTTTGTTCTGAGAAGGGTGATTCTGTATTGAACCACCTAACTACAGCACATTCTCTATCAATCTGAAGAACCATTTCACCACACGAAGAACCCTTTAATAATGCAAAGGGTTTTTTGAATGTCCATAGTTCCATATAGAACCATTTTCCTTTACAGAAAGACCCTTTTTTTATGAGTGTACTTTTTACGAGTGTACTTAAAAATGAGTTGTGCTATTGTCAGCTGTTTTAACAGCTGCTTGAACAGACATTATTAGAAAACTATATTCAAACACTTCATGTTATTATTTCAAAAGAAATTACACTATGAATGTTAAATTAACGAGTGAGAGATATTTATAGCCATTATTTTAGCTGCATTGCTGCTTGCTTGCTAGGCTAGTCTTGCTAACAGCTAGTCAAAGCATACCTCCTTCTTCACCACAGATGATGACTATTCTCACTTTTGTTGGAGTAAAATGATCCTGGATTTGTTAGTCCTGAGAGGAAACTTTATGATGAGGTGAAATGGTTCCCAATTGTTCGTCTGTGAGCAGAAAATCCCGCATACTTGACTTCCTAAACAGTCCGTCCCTCAAAGAAGCCCCTGCAGCAAGCTGCGTTAGCTTTAGCTAAGACATATACTTTGCTAGCATGCTAATGTTCTCGCACATAAAATAGTTATTGATAAAAACGAAATGAAATGTGAAAAGGGGCTGTTAGTTGGACATTCACTTTTTAGACCCATACCATATTCAAGTGAACCACAACGTATCACTTGATATTTGGGTTTATGGACTTTTTAGCCCAGCTGCATGCATGAACATTGAATATGCATATGTATGTAAAACTGGCTAAAAAGTGTAACTCCTCTAATGGCTGTAATGACGTTCACCTTGCTTCTCATTTCAATGGTGACCATAAAAATATTAAAAAAAAGAATGTGGTTAACCTCTTTCAAGTATTTGCATAAGCATATGTTTAACAAAGCATAAGTTTAATGAACAGACTTTTACTTCATATTAGAGGAGGCCAAAAACTGGCTTTTTAGAATGACAACCTGCTGCCACATCAGCCTTTTGTGGATAAGACTGGACACCCCTGGATTTAGAGCTACTGTTTATGATTCGAAGATTTTTTTCCCTCTAAAAAATCAACCAAGGCCAAACTTTACAGTCACGCACACCCTGTTACTCCTTACACAGAGGTGCATATTGCCATTATGCATATGAAAGACATTTAGCCTTATAAAATCACTCCACCGAATTATACACTAGAAATCCAAAAGTATGTGGACGCCTGGCCATCAGACCAATATGAGCTTGTTAGACATCCCATCCCAAAACCACGGGTTTTAATATGGAGCTGGTCCCCCTTTGTGGATATAACGGCCTGCGCTGTCCTAGGAAGGCTTTTTCACAAACTTTGAAGTGTGTCCATTCAGCCAAAAGAGAATTTGTGAAGCCAGTCCATCCCAAAGGTGTTAATTGGGGCTGAGGTTAGGGCTCTGCGCAGGCCACTGGAGTTCATCCAGACCACTCCAGTCAACACTTGGCCAGGTCTACCACTTTGTGGCTGAGCTGTTGCTGCTCTGAGATGCTTCCATTTTACAATAATAGCACTTACAGTTGGCTGGGGCAGATCTAGCAGGGCAGAAACTTCACAAACTGCCTTATGGCAAACCTCCTATGAAAATGCCATGTTTGAAGTCTCTGAGTTCCTCAGTACGACCCATTCTATTGCCAGTCTTTGTCTATGGAGATTGCGAGAATATGTGCTGGACACTTGTTAGATATCGTAGTGGCTAAAAACGTGAACTCTGAAGAATTGGAGATGTCCACATACTTTTATGTATCAGTGTGTGTTAAAGGCTTTGTAAGTTTGTGGGGTCATACCTGGCTGATTCTCTCCACTCCAGTTCCTCTCCGTCATGTTGAAGTGTGTCCATCTCAGTGAAGAGAGTGGGCGTTGGCATGGCGTCTTCATCCTCTCCTAAAATGTAGCGCAGCCGCTCTGCCGCTGGGGACACTTTTGAACAAACATAGACATTATTATTATTTTAACAGTCGCTATGGTTATGTGTACCACAAGAACTGACCCAAACTCCTGCTGAAAAACTCTCAAGAATCATTTAAACCTGAGGGATTTGCATGTTAGTGGGAATTGGCTTAGCACTGGCTAGCATTAGACACTGCTAGTTTCCTATGGAACACCTTTAGATGTCTATATAAAGACTTATGCTTCTAGAACCAGTTATGGGTCACTTGTTAAGATTAGGATAATTTAAATTGTGAAGGAAAACACAAAATACCACAACTTGCCTTCAGGCCGGGAAAGGACAGGAAAAAAATCAAGGGATCTTATAGTTCTAGAAATAGTTCATTTTCCACTTGTTTGAGAGACAGCAGGAACCACGATAATAACCACATACAATGATTTAGCTGTCTTTTTGACAGCTAATTAAGTATCTTGTATCTTCCTTGCTAGTTAGCTTACCTTACTGGCTGATATCAAATGATGTACTTCACTGTTCTGCTAATGCACTCATAAAAATATCTACAATTACACAGAATCATGTATAGAATGTATAGAAAAAATTAGCTATCAACACATTAATATACCATTCCTATTTATATTCAGGTGCACTTATTGGTGATGTAATAGCAATTGATTGACTTTATTTTCACCTGGAAAATTGAAGAATTTGCAAAGTTAGTTTCAGCTAGTTTTACCAAAGACAGAGGAGAATACCCTCGAGTACCATTAGGTCATGTTGGTATCTTGAGCAGGTAACAAAAAATGTAAAACTGGAACCTGGTCCAGTTTTCTGGTGCCAAAAGTTCTAGCACTTTGTACAGTGTAAAACGGCCTTTATATATGACCACCCACAGCAGTTCAGCCTATAGCAATTTAGCTCCACCCATTCATGTTGAAGTGATGTAGGGTGTTGTTCTTGCAGACAATCTGTGGCAGAGTTATTGGAGTGGAAGAACGTGGGATAATGAATAAACGTTGTGCTGTTCATGGCTGTCAGGATGCAACTACACCACTGCAGCCTTCTGTGCACCAAACACCATGGTTATCTGAGCCCTAGGCAAAGCACAATACAGGGCAGCCAATCAGAAAAGAGATAATTTACATATATCAACCTTAAAAGGCACACTAACAAGCTAACTAGGCAACAGCCTGTTTGATTCTAAGGGAGAAAGAGAAGTTGGAAAGTGGCCATGTAAAAGTGAATGGCTGGTTTCGGGATACAGAACCACTCAAATCTTACAAGGGGGCTCAGGGGGAGAATAAAAACAATAAAATGTGGAATATGGGCCCTTTAACAGCAGCTCACAGCGCGGAGAGGATTCTGCCTTCACATGTTCCGACTCAGGGAGCAACAAATTAGCCGTTTGACAGATGTTCTGCATAAAGCACTCAGCCCAGTGTGCTGTTGTGAAGGCTGTCTGTGTCTGTGAAGACTACCTGCGCTCTTTGAGTCATTACCCATTACTGCTCCTGAGAGAGAACAGGCCAGGAAGCGTGCGTGATGCTATTTTAGACTGAGAGCTTTGGCGGCTTGATGCTCTCCAGCTAGTTAGAGAGAGAAACACTCAGTTCATTGGCAAAGCTGGGATAAACGGCAGGGGCGTCATTTATTTCTGCTTATTTTTGCCACATTTCTATGTACTGCGTTCAAGTCAAACATCTGAGAGGAAGTGCAGGAAATAAGTACATGTGGAGTTGCTAAATTGTAGCTGGCGTTAACACTTCAACAACACCAAGAGTAGATTTACTTTGTATTTCCATCTCAACTGACCCTTGCTGTGTCCCTGTACATGAAAAAGAGGCCTTGTGTTTCCTGTAGGCATTAGGCTTCGGGGTTTATTTTATTTCTTTTTTTAGTTTCAGTTATTTCCTATGACTGACCTCACCGATGACTGATCACACGTCTAACAGATATCCACCTCAAGGTTTCCAGACTTACAACAGAACATAGTATTTGTTTGTATGTGTTTACAACAGAGCTGTCTATTGTCTTGACTTAATCACACTGAATGTGGAAAATTTAAAGCAGTGCTTTCAAACACATTATTTTCAATGAGATGGATTTTGAATATAAATTCAATTCGCTGGGGTTACATAAAGTTCAAATGCTTTAATCCACTAGGGGAGCTTTAGGAATGTCTGGAAGGTCCTGTCGCTACTCGAAACCCTAGTTTTATCGGAGAGCACTGCCCACTTTTGTGCACAACTGGCGAGCACTGCTTATGCTGCAAGTGGTGTGAAAGCACCTTGCCCCATACATGAGTGGCGAGCGTAACACATTGCGATCAGAGTGAAAACAGCTTTTTAGAGTTGTACTGTTGTCAGACTGGGTGCAGATGGACAGAGCACTCCTCGAATAAAGACCATGTCCTGCATCTCGGTCTCCTGACTTTCCTCCTTGGCCTGGAAGAAGATTAACGACAGCTTTCATTCAAAATCTTCTGTCAAAATGCCATAGAAATGGATAAATTGGCTTACTGGAGCCATTCCATGTTTACAATTCAGCCTACAAATAATTTTTTCCATTTTTCTGCAGTTTAATATTTATATCTGACGGTAAGGATGCTTAACATGCAAGACATTGTGGCTTGTTATCCAACATAAGCTCTATAAAATGAGCTTAACCTGATGATTATGGTGCCAAAATAGAGCAGAAAACTGATGCAGTATGAACGCTGCACATTGAGAGGGAATGGCTACAATTTAGCTGTAATTAACTTAGCTATTATTCTAATTTACACTGATAGCTAGTTAAATCTGCCTTGGATGTGGATACATCATAACACAGCAGTAGATACAGCATGTTAGAGTTAAGAAATTAATTGAATTATTTCACTGAATCCACTGAGCAGAGTGGCGTGCATCGCTAGCAGTTCACTTGAAGTAACTTCACTTATGTTTAGCAGTAATGATAATGCTATCACAATAAGACTCCGATATAATTCTACTGTGAAATGTAAATTAACTTGATTTAATTGAACACTAAAAACATTTCTCATGGTATTTAGGCATAGACTGCCAAGCAAGCCCTCCCATTGGTTAGGATGTCAGGAGCTGAACTGAAGGCCTTACACATTAGATTAGCCACCAACATAATTAGTGACAGAGGAGTTAACTAATCACATTTTCTCCACCTTTTCAATGAGAGGGACCGATTTTGTGGAAAACAAGATATGTCACTGAGTCAGAATACAGGTTGCAAGTAGTGGTTGGTATAGTTTAGTGGGTTTCTGTCCTCCATGTTGCAGATGGGGGTTTGATTCCCCTGCCTAGGCAAACACCCTACACTATACCAGTAAAACTCTTTGGGCAAAACTCCTAACACCACTTATATAAGTTGTAAGCCGCTTTGGATAAGACCACCTACCAAATGCTGTAAGTGTAAATGTACAGGCTATAGGTTAACCAAGTTTCAGTCAGTTGTTAGAACTGGAAAATGAAGGCAGCAGGCAAGAATCAATCTAAAAGTGCTACATACAAAGTAAGATATAAGTTAATATCCATTTCACTCTTTAAACAAAAACATAGAATGTATTTTACAAACTTCAAACATCTGTAATCTGGAATGGTCAAAAAATCATGTGAATCACCTTTAGCTTAGTGCTAACATATCACTAGAATCACATAGAGTTGCTAGCAGAAATTGCATTAACATTTTCCCTCATTTTTAACCAAGTTTTGACATTTACAGCCCAAACTGAAGGCCTAGATCTAACAGTCACTGCTTGTCACTGAATATTGAAGACATCAAAACTATGAAATACTACTGATTACACTGTACACATGCAAAGACCAATCAGCTCCGTCCAGGTGTTCGACTGGTACTATGACAATATGAAAAGACACTAGGGCTGCTATGACAATGTTATGACATTAATAAACTTAACCATAAAGCAGAGAGTCTTCTCTCCTAGGTGGGATGCACAACATAAAGTGCCAGTTTGTTGATGGTATCTCGGCTGAACTATGGGATCTGGCTCATCATCAAAGTGCAGCTGTACCTGCAAACCAGACATCGCTCCTTATGAAGCCAAGCACAAGCCCAGCACAAGCCCTCTTACTCTCAAAACTGAGTGAGGAGCCAAGCTCGGCGTGGAGAGGGAGCTGTGGAGGGTTATAGAGACAGAAGCCAGCACCTTTCAAAACATAGCAGCAAAGGAGGTCACCTTCTGGGAAAAAGAATCACTAAATTTGTGCTGCTGCTGTGGCTGCCAGCAAGTCGGATGCTGAATGTGTCCTGCTGCTGAAAAAGAGCCAATATGATGACATCCAGCTGGTGCAGGGCCAAAAAATTGGATTTTTTGATTATTACTCAAATCACAGCCCTTGACTGGGAGGTACAACAGACATTCCATCTAAGACTCCAAAGGCATCAGTGATTAGAAGAATGACTTAAAAAATTGGGACTATGTTTGAGGTTGAGGACCCACATGTTAAAGCTCCTGTTCTCACGTTTCCTAAACCAGTTAGAACAGCATTAAAAACTTGCTAACTAGTTCATTAGATTCCTTTTACAAAGGCTAAATTTAGGCCTAATACACTTAAATAGTTTGGAAAACTATGATTGTGTTTGTACTGATAAGGACATTATTAGATGTTATGACATAGCAAAAAAAGCAATAGCAACATTATTAAATAAGAAACTGTAATTATCTATTTATAGTCAATTTCATTTATAGTGAATTTGTTGACATAAAAGAACGATGAGTAGCTATTTTATCAGTAAATTTGGTCACCACTTTTTAAATATGAGGCATTCAGGATATTTTCATTCTCAGTACAGCTTTCTTAAGTATTATACAATCATTTTCAGCTCCATACATCAAAAATGTATTAATTAATCAGGATCTGCAACATATTTAGTTTCATATTAATGGAATCAATGTTTTCAAACTTTTGAACTGTACTGTAGGTTAAGGAATATTG